ATTATGATTATGATTATGATTATGATTATGATTATGATTATGATTATGATTGTGATTATGATTGTGATTGTGATTGTGATCGTGATCGTGATCGTGATCGTGATCGTGATCGTGATCGTGATCGTGATCGTGATCGTGATCGTGATCGTGATCGTGATCGTGATCGTGATCGTGATCGTGATCGTGATCATGATGATGATCATGATTATGATTATGATTATGATTATGATTATGATTATGATTATGATTATGATTATGATTATGATTTTGATTAGGATTAGGATTAGGATTAGGATTAGGATTAGGATTAGGATTAGGATTAGGATTAGGATTAGGATGAGGATTAGAAATTGGAATATTAGAATTTTTAGGATTATTAAGATTATTAGGATTGTTAGGATTATTGGTGTTATTAGGATTATTATTAGGATTATTATTAGGATTATTATTAGGATTATTATTAGGATTATTAGGATTATTATTAGGATTATTATTAGGATTATTATCAGGATTATTATTAGGATTATTAGGATTATTATTAGGATTATTATTAGGATTATTATTAGGATTATTATTAGTATTATTATCAGGATTATTATTAGGATTATTATTAGGATTATTATTATTATTATTGTTATCATTAGGGTTATGGTTGTGATTATGATAATAATATAATTTTTAAACAAACAAATAAACAGCTGTTGTGTTTCTCCTATATGTTGTATTGTATACAGAGAGGCGATTCCATTTTTCCTGATACCGTTTGTTTGTTTCAATGAGTTGAGTTTTCCGTTTCCAGTTTCTTATGACGTAATGTTTGCCAGCTCCAACATACTGGACGTTACTTCAACTTTTTCAAATGTCCACGGACGTCCGACAGGATTGTCTTGTATATAGTTGTGTTCCTGGTTGTGGGGTTGTGTTGTGTTCCTGATTGTGGGGTTGTGTTGTGTTCCTGATTGTGGGGTTGTGTTGTGTTCCTGGTTATGGGGTTGTGTTGTGTTCCTGATTGTGGGGTTGTGTTGTGTTCCTGATTGTGGGGTTGTGTTGTGTTCCTGATTGTGGGGTTGTGTTGTGTTCCTGATTGTGGGGTTGTGTTGTGTTCCTGGTTATGGGGTTGTGTTGTGTTCCTGATTGTGGGGTTGTGTTGTGTTCCTGATTGTGGGGTTGTGTTGTGTTCCTGATTGTGGGGTTGTGTTGTGTTCCTGATTGTGGGGTTGTGTTGTGTTCCCGATCGTGGGGTTGTGTTGTGTTCCCGATCGTGGGGTTGTGTTGTGTTGCGAATTGTGGGGACAGGCAGCCTTTTCACTGCTTGGCTCTCAGTAGCTCACAGGGCTACCCCAAACGGGAAGGCCCACAGAGGCACACAAACAGACGAAAGCCCACACAGAAAGCCCACACAGGTTAGCCCACAGAGGTAAGCCCACACAGACCAGCCCACACAGGTAAGCCCACACAGAAAGCCCACACAGGTTAGCCCACACACTCAAGCCCACACAGAAAGCCCACACAGGTAAGCCCAAAAAGATAAGCACACACAGGTTAGCCCACACAGATAAGCCCACAGAGGTAAGCCCACACAGGCAAGCCCACAAGCCCTATCACCTCTAAATCTATATTTAGGGCGTCATGTGACACAGCGATACGTCATTAAATTACTTGCTGCTCTAATTTACCTGAACTTTGACCTGTCTAAAGGAACAGCCCGTTAGCTCCAACCACACGATTATAAGCTCCAACCACACCAACCACACCAACCACACCAACCACACCAACCACACCAACCACACCAACCACATAATCGTTAGCTCCCCAGAAACCTCATCCCCACCCACACCGCTCCTGGAGTCCCCTCCCACAATCTCACATCCCATAATTCCATTGAGAAGTTCCCCTCAGCTTTGCACATATTTCCTCAAGGAAAGAATAATGTTGTAAATCCAATCTTTCCTGCTCAGCGGAGTAATACAATATTTGCCTCAAATCCCAATAACACAATATTCGCTTTTACATCCAAATCAAATATTTTCTTTAACCAAAATAATAAAAAAAAATTTTTTTTGGCTCGTATTGAAACACAATCAGCGTAAAGAATGCTCTCTATCGTATCATGTTGCTGAGTTTTGGATATAACCAATAGGTTAAACCAAACATGACCTACACCAAACATGACCTACAGCAAACATGACCTACAGCAAACATGACCTACACCAAACATGACCTACAGCAAACATGACCTACAGCAAACATGACCTACAGCAAACATGACCTACACCAAACATGACCTACAGCAAACATGACCTACAGCAAACATGACCTACACCAAACATGACCTACACCAAAACATGACCTACACCAAACATGACCTACAGCAAACATGACCTACAGCAAACATGACCTACACCAAACATGACATACAGCAAACATGACCTACACCAAACATGATCTACACCAAACATGACCTACACCAAACATGACCTACACCAAACATGACCTACACCAAACATGACCTACACCAAACATGACCTACACCATGACCTACACCAAATATGACCTACAGCAAACAAGACCTACAGCAAACATGACCTACAGCAAACATGACCTACACCATGACCTACACCAAACATGACCTACACCAAACATGACCTACACCAAACATGACCTACACCAAACATGACCTACACCAAACATGACCTACAGCAAACATGACCTACAGCAAACATGACCTACAGCAAACATGACCTACAGCAAACATGACCTACACCAAACATGACCTACACCAAACATGACCTACACCAAACATGACCTACACCAAACATGACCTACACCAAACATGACCTACACCAAACATGACCTACACTAAACATGACCTACACTAAACATGACCTACACCAAACATGACCTACATTAACCATGACCTACATTAACCATGACCTACACTCAACATGTGCAACACCAAACATGACCTATCGTGTACACTAACCTGACCTATCACGTAAACTAACATGACCTATTGTGTACACCATATTTGCCCTATTTGTCATCAGCTTGTAACCCCTTGTGTACAAGACCAGCTGACGTACACACTAAAACAATTCCAACCAAACAGGAGCTTGTCACGTTCACAATTCCAATCAAAGAGGCGCTTGTCACGTTCACGTTTCTCCAATAAAACCCAAAGAGAACCCAATATATGACACAGCCAGAAGACAGTGTGCTGTGGTTACAATAGTAGATCTATTTCCCCGAGAACTTGATATGACCAGCTTGATTGTGTCTGATTCAATTTACCGTCGCCCCCTCACGCGGCCAGCAAGTGCCGCAGCTGATGATTTGTTTCGTTGTCATCTCATGTGCACACAATGTGTCAGGTTATTGCAAAAATAGGAATCAAATCTGATTGGTGACAAATGTTTTCGTGCGAACAGTAAACACGCATTTCTCTTGCTACATCTTGAACATGGCACTAGTGGTCAGATCACATAAAACATGGCACTAGTGGTCAGATCACATAAAATATGGCACAAGTGGTCAGATCACATGACACTAATGGTCAGGTCACACAAAACATGGCACTAGTGGTCAGATCACATAAAACATGGCACTAGTTTGTCTTGCTCAAGCACTTTGGAGTTTTGAGATTAGCCGGGTTCAGTCAAGTTAGGCTGTAAAGGGTCAATGCTGTCAGTGCTGTCAATGCTGTCAGTGCTGTCAGTGAACAGCAATCAGAAACAATTGCTGTGTTTCTGACCTGTCCTAATGACGTAAATAGCCTGAGGCTTGTCCGGCATCCAACAGATGTCAGATGACATTATCTCTGACTGACGAGTTGTGTCTGACAGATGTCATTTGACCAGTCGTCCAGCATGGTGTGCTTCAGTTCAAAACAAAAAAAATCTGGCCAGCCAGGGATAAACTGGCCAGTTTGTCCCCCACCCCCCTCCACCGATAGCTCATGTTTCAGTTGGACAAGTGTTCCTCTAATCGCTTTAGATGGCATCGTGACGCCTACATCGTGACGCCTACATCGTGACGCCCACACAAACATAGGTCGCTCGAGATGTGTCCTAAACAAACACACACTTGCAACTAATTATATCGTACACACCACTAGATCACCACACACGCCACACATGACAGTAAACTTACGCAACAACACATTACACACCGATATAATACACATCAACACGTTACACACGAATCAAGTACACACTTACCAATTACGTACCAACTTATCTGACCTCATGCATATAAACATAGACCAAGTTGGACTAAGGTAGACACACTACACACATGCTTTCACAATCATTTACACATCACACACTCACACACACCCTCACACAACACACACAGTTAGATATAACTTACTCTCAAACACCAACACACACACACACACTCACACACACACACACACCACACCCCCTCACACAACATACATCTTACTTATAACTCACACACCACACACACACACACACCCTCACACAACACACACCCTTAGATATAACTTACTCTCAAACACCAACACACACACACACCACACCCCCTCACACAACAGACATCTTACTTATAACTCTCACACCACACACCACACACCAAAAATCCCCACAAACCTCCCGTCTTGCCTAAAGCTCAAGAAACGAGATGTTGTTAGGGTTAGTATTTGTCTGCTGTCCTCACGTCTGTATGATGATGTTCTATTTGTCTGCCTTTCTCCTGTCCTCATGTTGGTATGATGATGTTCTATTTGTCTGCCTTTCTCCTGTCCTCACTTTGGTATGATGAAAATAAAAAGCCCACCCTCTTGTAAACGTTGGCATAAATAATGTGCTCAGCCGGGTCCGGCAAATATAATCTGTATGTATATTTGGATCATAGAGTGGAGCGGTGGCCCCACACACGCGCGGGAGGGGGAGGCTGGAAATGTACCAGCAGTGAAGCCGGCATGTGATTGGATAGCCGGTTCAGCAACGGGTGATAACTCTAGTCGAACTTCCGTTCACTCAAGCACTGGTTTGTTTACGTTCAGTTTGTTGTTTCTTGTTCATTTTTAAACTACAATTAAAAATAAACAAGTAAGTTTAGTGGATGTGATTTCTGTTGGATGATTTCTGTGGCAGGTAAATCTGGGTCACGCCTGATGTGTCGAGTCAGTGAAAAGTAAATTCTTGTTTCTGCTAGCCGTCTGGAAGTTATCGGATATTGCCGGGATATTAAAGGTAAACACAGCGAGGTTCCAGAGCAGATCTTTCAATCCATGTGGATTAGCAGCAGGACAGACAGACGAGAGAACAGACGACCTAACAGACGAGTGAACACACCTGAACTGACTCAGCTTGTGACGCAGGGCAGGGACATGCGCAATGTGGTCTTTCATCTGCTTCTCCACGCGGCACTGGCCTTAGCGTACACACACAACATCCCCATAGGTAAGTCGTTAGCTTACACACACAACATCCCCATAGGTAAGTCGTTAGCTTACACACACAACATTCCCATAGGTAAGTCGTTAGCTTACACACACAACATTCCCATAGGTAAGTCGTTAGCTTACACACACAACATCCCCATAGGTAAGTCGTTAGCTTACACACACAACATCACCATAGGTACGTTGTTGGCGTTAGCTTACACACACACATCCCCATAGGTAAGTCGTTAGCTTACACACACACATCCCCATAGGTAAGTCGCTCACCTGGCCATCTGGTCTGCCACCTGTACTGCCACCTACCTTGTCACTTGTCCTGCCACCTGATCTAGCACACCTGAGCACACCTGAGCACACCTGACACTTGAGATGTCATCTGTCATATTTTCAATTATTTTGATTACCAGATTCTCTTGTCTGATCTATTTATAACCATCCAAGTTTAGTTTTTAAAGATGTCGGATTAGTTTGAATCAGCTGTGTCGTATCGTACACAAGAGTGTTATTTACTTGCTGCAGTCGGAATACTAAAATTACATTTTAAATTGCAATATAAAACTCAAATGTATTGTACGAATATAAAATATAAATTTAGAATGCGAATGCAAACTTTGAAAAAATCGAATGCAGAATTGTTATATAACATTCAAATTAAAAATTTGAATTCAGAATTGAAATTTAAAACTCCGATGTAAACTGTAAAATTTGCATGCACAAGTAAAGATGTAAAGTTTTACTGTAAACTACAAATATAAAGGGTGAAATTTGAATATTTTTACATTGTTTTTGTCGCTTCCTGTCAGATGTTAAAGTTTTTAGATGTTTGAATTTGATCGCTCACAGTCCTACTGACTCAATTCCTACTGACTCAATTCCTACTGACTCAATTCCTACTGACTCAATTCCTACTGACTCAATTCCTACTGACTCAATTCCTACTGACTCAAGTCCTACTGACTCAAGTCCTACTGACTCACGTTCGAGTGACTTCTAACGCCGACTCAAACTGGTGCTGCGACTGACTCTGCTCTAGCTGGTCGGGGAACCCCTCCAGGTGCCCCACCACCCTGATGGTGCCCGGGGGCTTCCCCTGCAGGGCGCCCCGTGGCTGTAGCTTCAGCGACCCCTGCACCGTGACGTAGCCCTCGACCGTGGCCGACCCCTCGGGCTGGATGACGAGCCTGCCCTGGACCGTCATGCCCCCACTCACGAGCAGGGTGCCGTGCACCAGTAGCGGCCCCTGCACGGTCAGGGCGCCGTCGACCACGAGGAAGCCGTGCAGCGTCAGGGCGCCCTGGACTGTGGCCGTGCCGCCCTCCCGCACCACCAGGGAGCCGTCTGTTTTGATCAGGACGCCGCCCTGGACGGTCAAGTCGCCCTGGACCGTGACGGAGCCGTGTGGCTCCACCGTCAGGTGTTCTTGGATCAGACGGGTACCGTGGGGCCGCACGTCCAGTGAGTCTTGTGCGTAGACCTTCATCTTCTTCTGTGTAGGTGGAGTAGAGGAGATGTAAGTTAAGCTTGTCTCACGAGTTGAGTACTCCCTCCATAGGCCCAGAACATCTGAAATGTGAACATCAATCACAGGTTAACTGGGTTTTTTCTTGGTGGGTTTTTTTCTTGCTGGGTTTTTTTCTAGATGGGATTTTTTCTTGGTGGGTTTTTTCTTGGTGGGTTTTTTCTTGGTGGGTTTTTTCTTGGTTTTTTTCTAGATGGATTTTCTCTAGATGGGTTTTCTCTAGGTGGGTTTTCTCTAGGTGGGTTTTTTCTAGGTGGGTTTTTTCTTGGTGGGTTTTTTCTAGATGGGGGTTTTTAAGGTGGATTTTTAAAGGTGAGTTTATTCTAGGTGGGTTTTTTAAGAAGGATTCACTAAAGTTGAATTCACAAAATGAGTTTTTTCTAAAAGTTGGCGAAAATACACTGTGTCTCAGAAATATGACATTAAATATGCAAATGAAGAACTGCATTAAAGATGTCACAAAGTACTACATTAAAGATGTCACAAAGTACTACATTAAAGATGTCACAAAGTACTACATTAAAGATGTCACAAAGTACTATATTAAAGATGTCACAAAGTACTACATTAAAGATTTCACAGTAGTACTACATTAAAGATGTCACAAAGTACTACATTAAAGATGTCACAAAGTACTACATTAAAGATTTCACAGTAGTACTACATTAAAGATGTCACAAAGTACTACATTAAAGATGTCACAAAGTACTACATTAAAGATGTCACAAAGTACTACATTAAAGATGTCACAAAGTACTACATTAAAGATGTCACAAAGTACTACATTAAAGATGTCACAAAGTACTACATTAAAGATGTCACAAAGTACTACATTAAAGATGTCACAAAAGTACTACATTAAAGATGTCACAAAGTACTACATTAAAGATGTCACAAAGTACTACATTAAAGATGTCACAAAGTACTACATTAAAGATGTCACAAAGTACTACATTAAAGATGTCACAAAGTACTACATTAAAGATGTCACAAAGTACTACATTAAAGATGTCACAAAGTACTACATTAAAGATGTCACAAAGTACTACATTAAAGATGTCACAAAGTACTACATTAAAGATGTCACAAAGTACTACATTAAAGATGTCACAAAAGTACTACATTAAAGATGTCACAAAGTACTACATTAAAGATGTCACAACGTACTACATTAAAGATGTCACAAAGTACTACATTAAAGATGTCACAAAGTACTACATTAAAGATGTCACAAAGTACTACATTAAAGATGTCACAAAGTACTACATTAAAGATGTCACAAAGTACTACATTAAAGATTTCACAAAGTACTACATTAAAGATGTCGCAAAGTACTACATTAGAGATGTCACAAAAGTACTACATTAAAGATGTCACAAAGTACTACATTAAAGATGTCACAAAGTACTACATTAAAGATGTCACAAAGTACTACATTAAAGATGTCACAAAGTACTACATTAAAGATATCACAAAGTACTACATTAAAGATGTCACAAAGTACTACATTAAAGATGTCACAAAGTACTACATTAAAGATGTCACAAAGTACTACATTAAAGATGTCACAAAGTACTACATTAAAGATGTCACAAAGTACTACATTAAAGATGTCACAAAGTACTACATTAAAGATGTCACAAAGTACTACATTAAAGATGTCACAAAGTACTACATTAAAGATGTCACAAAAGTACTACATTAAAGATGTCACAAAGTACTACATTAAAGATGTCACAAAGTACTACATTAAAGATGTCACAAAGTACTACATTAAAGATGTCAATAACGCCTGAAGAACGTGGTTGACTTATCAGTGGCTTCGTTAGCTCAGTCTCCCGTCACGTGTGAAATATTTGGTTAATTTAGCCGGGGCCCGCAGCCTTAGTCTGGCCGTCAAATAATTGCTCCATGTAGCCGGGGGTGCTACAATTAGCTGGAGCCCTGGGACGGAAATGGGTGGACAGTGGGCAGTAAATGACCAACTGTGGTCAGGCATGTCGAAACATTCGGTACAGACAAGTTTAGTCAGGTCTTTAATGTGGGGGGGGGGGTATGTGTGGTGGGTGGTGCGGTGAGTGATGTGTGGTGTGTGGTGTGTGGTGGGTTATGTGTTGTGTGTGATGTGTGCTGTGTGCTGTCTGAGCTCTATGATGTGTGAATAGTGTGGTCTGTGTGATGAGTGAAACAGCATATGTGGCCAGTCAACCATTCATAAGTCGACACGTTCTTAAAACCGCACATTCTCCTAAAGTCTTGGAAAAAGATAAACGCTGATAAACCATTCGTTGATTACATGTCCTCATTAGTATTTGAATGATTTGTCATCAAGTTGCAGAAACCCTTTCGTCTGTTCAATGACTCAAAGAATTGACCCCTGTAACAACGACACAAAGAATTGACCCCTGTAACAACGACACAAAGAATTGACCCCTGTAACAATGACCCCAGGCAGTAATTAGGTCGACTCTGTGTTGCTCTTGTGTGATTACAACATTCTAAAGCAATCTTCAATTTCTACTGGATCAGCCGAGCCGTTTTTAGATTTCATTTGCAATATGAGCGAGACAAATGTAAGCTAAAACGGTGTAGAAGAAAACCTAACCTGTGTTGGAATAGAACGTATAAAAACTAGGCTAGTGTAGAACAAAACATGAGTCTTATCGCTGGGCTGAGTTTGTCGATTTTCTCGTTTGACTTTAAAAACGTTCTTGTCTCCTCTAGGTTTGAGAATAATCTTCCGGTCATAATGGAGATTAGTTTTCAATGCAAACCTTTTATGGTGCATCCTTTCACCTATTTTTAGACTGGGAATCTCCGTTGTTGTGTTGAGTGAATGATGAGGAATTGAACTAATCTTTCGCTGAGCCGTATTAGAAGGATCATGCAATAAATGGAGACATTTCTTAACATCTCTGGAACCCAAGGACGCCCCATCCGGAAAATGGCGCCTAGACTGGCAATATTCGATCATAGATCGATTGTTTTGCCGTGTAAAATTAATCACACGTAGATTAACATGGTGCTTTCGAGTACTTAGTCAGACGACCATGACGTCAAAGCCAGTCGAACCAGACGTCGAAGATAGAAGACATTGACGTCACACCCGGGTGACAATGACGTCCAACTAACAAAAGTCGCGGGTTTTGTAGCGCCAGAATCCAAACAAACGTCAATTTGATGCGGCAAATTGTTGTATTGTCTGACGGTATTTTCTTGATGATCAGCTGTCTATCAAATATCTCTCTGTCCAGATAATTGATAGAAGAATACCTTACTGTCATCACTTTTATACAGATGCCTTAACAATTTTGTATTATCCAAGACCCTTGAGATGAGCTTATGGCAAAACTTCTCGTCGACGTGTTCTTACAGCGGTTGTTGTCGGTTTCGTTGTTACAGTTGTTGATGTGGCAGTAAATGACCTGTTGTTGATGTGGCAGTAAATGACCTGTTGTTGATGTGGCAGTAAATGACCTGTTGTTGATGTGACAGTAAATGACCTGTTGTTGATGTGGTAGTGAGGCAGTCACGATTGTGTACTCTATGAGTCGAAACAATAGTCGTCTGCTTTATCAAGGGGAATACAGCAAATGTAAACACATTCGGTAATTCGTGTCACTTTCATTTAGGCTGGTAAATTGTCACATTTATTTAGGCTGGTAAATTGTCACATTTATTTAGGCTGGTAAATTGGGGTGATCACTTTTGGTCTACAAGCAGAGGTGGCTTAAGAGTGGGGAGCTGAGTGGGCAACAGCCAGGGCCCCCATAATTTTCTTTTACAAAGCTTATTCGCTTTCACTTAACTATGCAATGGTTTCATTTTACTATCAAAACAAATGTTTGAATGTTTGAATCACACGCCTATTTTTTAAGCATCAAACACGTGCACTCTCTAGTATAAATACCTGTTGTCTCATCAAACACGTGCACTCTCTAGTATAAATACCTGTTGTCAGCACCAGACCAGTGCTATCATTAAAGCCGATGGTTTCTAAAAATAGCAGAGTGTGTACCAGCGTTGGCTTATAAAATAGGTTGATTTCAGAGTTAAAGAAAACACAAAGAGCATACTAACTCTGACAAATGAGGTTAGGCTTATGACGATAAAATAGGTTGATGTCAGAGTTAAAGAAAACACAAAGAGCAAACTAATTCTGACGAATGAGGTTAGGCTTTCGATAAACCCCGCTTTGAAAATCAGACAGCGATTGAAAGATATAGGCATATTCATTACTTCGTCGGATCGTTTAGAGATGTGGTAAGCTAGGCCTTAGCAACATAAAAAATCACAATTGTTAGTCATAGGGTCTACACTCTCAATGGACGCCGGCGAGAAAGTATTCGAGAGGCCCATTAATTAATTTAAAAATCATGCACTGCACAATTACAATTAATATGGTTATAAAATCCTGTCTGGTTTTTTTTTCGGACTATACTAAAGATTGGATGTATTTGATGTTTTTAATATTTTCGGTAACTAAATAAAAATTAAAAAGAAAGCAAAAACATTTTTTATAGCGACATAAACAATGGCATCCTACTATTCGATAAGCTACCTAAATTTTATTGTACATGTTGTAAGCGAAAAAAAAAGAAAACTAGGTCATGGGGTTTAAATTTGCATTGTTATTTAAAAACTTTATCTGCAAAATTTTGTAAACAAATAGTTATCGACCACGTACTTCCATTACAGCCAATCAATATCTGTGTTACGAAAGTGAAACATCCGGTTATAATTTAGGTCTGATAAAAATAAATAGAAACGTAGCCTTAAACTCAACAAATTATTTTCAAGTTCTCTGGATTTCCAAATTTTATAGCATTGATTATAAAATATAAAATTTCTGAATTAATTTTTGGCTTAAGTTTTTATTTTTTTATTATTTTTACGGTCGCTTTGTTTGCTAAATCCAAAAAAGCACGTTTTTATTCCATGTCAACAACATGATGGAAGGATCCTCGTCAACTCGCTCGCCTCCATTACTTCTCGCTCACAAGCGTACGAGGCAGTACGCACCATATGGACTAGCAATCAATGACAAAATGCTTGACTGTCTTGCTCACTAGCTACCCTGCTCATAAGATATTTTACATTCTTTTATTTGCAGTGAGGTTTCGTATAGTCATATATTTAGATATCGGATAACTAGATTTAGTTATTTTGGATTAAATCTCCCTAAATCCATTTGGATGCCTGATTATTTTTTTTAGAATTTACCAAAATTCGATGTATTCTGCGCTATTTTGTTTGTGTTCATTTGGTGCGCAATCGTTTTCAGACATGCGATTCTATTGCATTAAAATGTTAAACCATTGAAATTAATAAAGATAATTTAATACAAGCTTTTATATATTAATTCACTAAAACGTAGAAAATACATAATTTCCCTAAATTATATAATTATGTCCTACAATAACTATAAGAAAAGGGTGGGTCATTATTATGTATTTAAAACCCATATTATAAAAGGTTTGTTTTTTTCAGTTTTATTTATAGCTTGTACAACCTACTTCATCAAACAAAAATAAAACTTGTTAAAATGAATCTCTTACAAACTTGTTGAAATGAATCTCTTACAAACTTGTTGAAATGAATCTCTTACAAACTTGTTGAAATGAATCTCTTACAAACTTGTTTAAATGAATCTCTTACAAACTTGTGGAAATGAATCTCTTACAAACTTGTTGAAATGAATCTCTTACAATCTTGTTGAAATGAATCTATTACAAACTTGTTGAAATGAATCTCTTACAAACTTGTTGAAATGAATCTCTTACAATCTTGTTGAAATGAATCTCTTACAATCTTGTTGAAATGAATCTATTACAAACTTGTTGAAATGAATCTCTTACAATCTTGTTGAAATGAATCTATTACAAACTTGTTGAAATGAATCTCTTACAATCTTGTTGAAACAAATCGCTTACAAACTTGTTGAAATGAATTTTTACAAAATTGTTGAAATGAAACTATTACAATCTCGTTGAGATGAATCTATTACAATCTTGTTGAGATGAATCTATTACAATCTTGTTGAAATAAATCGCTTACAATCTTGTTGAAATGAATCTATTACAATCTTGTTGAAATAAATCGCTTACAATCTTGTTGAAATGAATCTATTACAATCTTGTTGAAATAAATCGCTTACAATCTTGTTGAAATTAATCGCTTACAATCTTGTTGAAATGAATCTATTACAATCTTGTTGAAATAAATGGCTTACAATCTTGTTGAAATAAATCGCTTACAATCTTGTTGAAATGAATCTATTACAATCTTGTTGAAACAAATCGCTTACAATCTGGATGAAATAAATCTATTACCATCTTGTTGAAATAAATCTCTTACAATCTTTTTGAAATAAATCGCTTACAATTTTGTTGAAATAAATCTCTTACAATCTTGTTGAAATGAATCTATTACCATCTTGTTGAAATAAATCTCTTACAATCTTGTTGAAATAAATCGCTTACAATCTTGTTGAAATAAATCGCTTACACATCGCTTACACATCGCTTACAAATCGCTTACACAACTATCGAGCAAAAGATTATCCCGGCTCTGGACGCTAAGCTATTTTTATCTCTTATAGTCTGCTGCAGAATGTCCATGCGTCTGTTTATTGTTAGGGAAAGATGGGCCGTGCTGAATGACGCAGGCTAAACATGACGCAGGGTGAGCATGACGCTGGCTAAACATGACGCAGCGTGAGCGCGACGCAGGTTGAGCCTGACGCAGGGTGGACATGACGCGGCAATGATGACGAAAGATTTCTGTTGACTAGAGCCACGTCAAACACATAACTGGACAAACATCTTGGGACAAACATCTTGGGACAAACATCTTGGGACAAACATCTTGGGACAAACATCTTGGGACAAACATCTTGGGACAAACATCTTGGGACAAACATCTTGGGACAAACATCTTTGGGACAAACATCTTGGGACAAACATCTTGGGACAAACATCTTAAGACAAACAGCTTGGGACAAACAGCTTGGGACAAACATCTTGGGACAGCTTGGGACAAACATCTTTGGGACAAACAGCTTGGGACAAACATCTTGGGACAAACAGCTTGGGACAAACATCTTGGGACAAACATCTTGGGACAAACATCTTGGGACAAACATCTTAAGACAAACAGCTTGGGACAAACATCTTGGGACAAACAGATTGGGACAGCTTGGGACAAACATCTTTGGGACAAACAGCTTGGGACAAACATCTTGGGACAAACATCTTAGGACAAACAGCTTGGGACAAACATCTTGGGACAAACATCTTGGGACAAACATCTTGGGACAAACACCTTGGGACAAACACCTTGGGACAAACATCTTGGGACAAACATCTTGGGGCAAACATCTTGGGACAAACATCTTGGGACAAACATCTTGGGACAAACATCTTGGGACAAACATCTTGGGACAAACATCTTGGGACAAACATCTTGGGACAAACATCTTGGGACAAACATCTTGGGACAAACATCTTGGGACAAACATCTTGGGACAAACATCTTGGGACAAACATCTTGGGACAAACATCTTGGGACAAACATCTTGGGACAAACATCTTGGGACAAACATCTTGGGACAAACATCTTGGGACAAACATCTTGGGACAAACATCTTGGGACAAACAGCTTGGGACAGCTTGGGACAAACATCTTTGGGACAAACAGCTTGGGACAAACATCTTGGGACAAACATCTTGGGACAAACATCTTGGGACAAACATCTTGGGACAAACATCTTGGGACAAACATCTTGGGACAAACATCTTGGGACAAACATCTTGGGACAAACATCTTGGGACAAACAGCTTGGGACAGCTTGGGACAAACATCTTTGGGACAAACAGCTTGGGACAAACATCTTGGGACAAACATCTTGGGACAAACATCTTGGGACAAACAGCTTGGGACAAACATCTTGGGACAAACATCTTGGGACAAACATCTTGGGACAAACACCTTGGGACAAACATCTTGGGACAAACACCTTGGGACAAACATCTTGGGACAAACATCTTGGGACAAACAGCTTGGGACAAACATCTTGGGACAGCTGGGGACAAACATCTTGGGACAAACATCTTGGGACAAACATCTTGGGACAAACATCTTGGGACAAACATCTTGGGACAAACACCTTGGGACAAACATCTTGGGACAAACACCTTGGGACAAACATCTTGGGACAAAAATCTTGGGACAAACAGCTTGGGACAAACATCTTTGGGACAAACAGCTTGGGACAAACATCTTGGGACAAACATCTTGGGACAAACAGCTTGGGACAAACATCTTGGGACAAACAGCTGGGGACAAACATCTTGGGACAAACAACTTGGGACAAACATCTTGGGACAAACAACTTGGGAAAAACAGCTTGGGACAAACATCTTGGGACAAACAGCTTGGGACAAACATCTTGGGACAAACAACTTGGGACAGCTGGGGACAAACATCTTGGGACAAACATCTTGGGACAAACATCTTGGGACAAACATCTTGGGACAAACATCTTGGGACAAACAGCTTGGGACAAACAGCTTGGGACAAACATCTTGGGACAAACATCTTGGGACAAACAACTTGGGACAGCTTGGGACAAACAGCTTGGGACAAACAGCTTGGGACAAACAGCTTGGGACAAACATCTTGGGACAAACATCTTGGGACAGCTGGGGACAAACATCTTGGGACAAACATTTTGGGACAAACAACTTGGGACAAACAGCTTGGGACAAACAGCTTAAGACAAACAGCTTGGGACAAACATCTTGGGACAAACATCTTGGGACAAACATCTTGGGACAAACAGCTTGGGACAAACATCTTGGGACAAACATCTTGGGACAAACACCTTGGGACAAACATCTTGGGACAAACATCTTGGGACAAACATCTTGGGACAAACAGCTTGGGACAAACATCTTGGGACAGCTGGGGACAAACATCTTGGGACAAACATCTTGGGACAAACATCTTGGGACAAACATCTTGGGACAAACAGCTTGGGACAAACATCTTGGGACAAACATCTTGGGACAAACATCTTGGGACAAACATCTTGGGACAAACATCTTGGGACAAACATCTTGGGACAAACATCTTGGGACAAACATCTTGGGACAAACATCTTGGGACAAACATCTTGGGACAAACATCTTGGGACAAACATCTTGGGACAGCTGGGGACAAAGATCTTGGGACAAACATTTTGGGACAAACAACTTGGGACAAACAGCTTGGGACAAACATCTTTGGACAAACAGCTTGGGACAAACATCTTGGGGCAAACATCTTGGGACAAACATCTTGGGACAAACATCTTGGGACAAACATCTTGGGACAAACATCTTGGGACAAACATCTTGGGACAAACATCTTGGGACAAACATTTTTGGACAAACAACTTGGGACAAACAGCTTGGGACAAACATCTTGTGACAAACAGCTTGGGACAAACAGCTTGGGACAAACATCTTGGGACAAACATCTTGGGACAAACAGCTTGGGACAAACATCTTGGGACAAACATCTTGGGACAAACATCTTGGGACAAACATCCAACATTTACAGATTACTTACAAACGTATTGAATATCAAATTTTAAAATGCGAAATTTTGAATGGTATCTAAAATGCAAAGTTAAAACATGAACATTAATTTAGAAATTTGTATGTAAAAACTGTAGGTGAAGCTTGGAATACTATAGGTAAATGTAAAATTTTATTTAAACTGAGTATAAAATATAAGTAAACAAATAATAAAAGTAAAAACGTTGTTTAAGTCGTTTTCTGTCACTGTCATCGATTTGTCGTTGGTGTCGTTAGTGTCAGTCGGTGTAAACAGTCGTACTGAACCCGCCCCTGTTGAACCCGTCCCTGTTGAACCCGCCCCTGTCGGCCCCACCCCTACACATCCCTGCGAGACCTAACTTAGAATGGCTGCTTGGTAAACTCTGCTCCTGTTGGCCCGGAAATTCCATGAAATGACCTTGAACATTTAAGGTGGCTGGCGGTCGTCCATTAAGCTGACCTCGCGGCCTGACATTGAGTCGACCTTGAACTGTTAATGTGCCATCCACTATGACGGAGCCTTCTGCCTCTATGGTCATGTGACCTTGTACCGTGAGGGCGCCTCCAATGATCAGGATACCGCACACAGTGAGGGGCCCCATTACGCTCACCGTGCCGTCCACCATCAGGTAGCTGTGTAGCATCAGGCTACCCCGCACTGTCAGGCTACCCTCTACCGACAGGGTACCGAGGAGCGAGAGGGACCCTTGGATGGTCAGCTGGCCGTCTCGGCTGACCAGCATGGAGCCTTTTGGTTGGATCCAAATGTTGCCCCGAGCTAGGATTGGACCCAGAACCCGCACTGATCCATGCGACTCGACCGTCATTGTGTCTTGGATCACTTGGTAACTATGCTGAGGTAGGATCAGCGAATCTTGTGCGTAGACTTTCATTATCGAGTCTACGTGTCTGTAGGTGAAGCAGAGGATAGGTGCGCTTCTTTACGCTTGTCTCAACCGCTGAATAGTCGCCGTCTGAAGAATGTCTGGAATGTATACATTAGTGGCTCGTTAGCTGGGTGGGTTTATTTCAGGTGGGTTAATCATAGGTGGGTTTATTTAGGTGGGTTAATCTTAGGTGGGTTTATTTAGGTGGGTTAATCATAGGTTGGTTTACTGGGGGTGGATTAACTAGAGGTGGGTTTAATAAAGATAGATAAAATAAAATGCGCTTGCTAAATTGGATTTAGTGATTCTGAATTCACTCGCAATTGTTTTCTTTTAAGATGGCCAATGAACGTGTACAAAGTTGATTTGAGCAAGATTAGAACTTAAACGTCAAGGCGTCCATATAAGCAAACGATTTCACGTTACTGCTGTAGTGTGCTAGGAAAGTATTGTAGACTGTGATATTATAGACGCCAGATTTTCTACTGGGCTTAGCGATTTGAGACAAATGTAAGCTAAAATGTTGTAGAAGAAAACCTAACCTGTGTTGGAATAGAACGTATAAAAACTAGGCTAGTGTAGAACAAAACAAGAGTTTTTTATTGAGCTGAGTTTGTCGATTTTCTCGTTTGACTTTAAAAACGTTCTTGTCTCCTCTAGGTTTGAGAATAATCTTCCGGTCATAATGGAGATTAGTTTTCAATGCAAACCTTTTATGGTGCATCCTTTCACCTATTTTTAGACTGGGAATCTCCGTTGTTGTGTTGAGTGAATGATGAGGAATTGAACTAATCTTTCGCTGAGCCGTATTAGAAGGATCATGCAATAAATGGAGACATTTCTTAACATCTCTGGAACCCAAGGACGCCCCATCCGGAAAATGGCGCCTAGACTGGCAATATTCGATCATAGATCGATTGTTTTGCCGTGTAAAATTAATCACACGTAGATTAACATGGTTCTTGAGAGTACTTAATCAGGCGACCTTGACGTCAAAGCCAGTCGACCTTGACATCATAGCCAGACGACCTTGACGTCAAAGCTTAACGACCTTGACATCACAGCCAGACGACCTTGACATCACACCCAGAAGAGTGACAACAAAGATCTTGTAACGAGGAAATCCAAGCAAATGTCACTTTGGTACCTGCACATTGTTTTCTTGTCTGACCGTGTATAACATCTCTCTCTCTCTCTCTCTCTCTCTCTCTCTCTAGATAGATAGATCAATGTTAATCTCTCCTCACTTTTATACCTGTGTCTCAGCAATGTTTGCAGTCAGCAGAAAACAATGGACAAGTTTTTGTCTGATCTAAAGGTTGACTGGTTGCTGGTTTAGGTTGACTGGTTGCTGGTTTAGGTTGACTGGTTGCTGGTTTAGGTTTAAGTGGTGGTATTTGGGTGGGGAGTGATTATGTTGGTGGTGTAATGGGGCGGGGGAAAGTTACCTTGGTGTTTTCCTGTGGTAATCGTCACTGGGTACCTTCAGCTGGATGTCTGAATACGTCATAACAGATTTATCAACATTAGATCTATTGAGCATCCAAATGTTGGAACATTAAATCTATGGAGCATCCAAATTTTGGAACATTAAATCTATGGAGCATCCAAATTTTGGGACATTAAATCTATGGAGCATCCAAACCTTGCGACATTAGATCTATGGAGCATCCAAATTTTGGGACATTAAATCTATGGAGCATCCAAACCTTGCGACATTAGATCTATTGAGCATCCAAATGTTGGGACATTAGATCTTTGGAGCATTCAAACCTTGGGTCATTAGATCTATTGGATTATCTAACATCTCTACGTTAGAGCTATGTCGCCACCAAATATTGATAGATTTGAGCTATATAATAAGCACAATTGCTACATTCGAACTAAATATCCACCAAATGTAGCCATTTTTGTAGTTGATAATACTTCAGCGAACCCGAAAAATTTGTTGAAATGAATCTCTTACACAAATATCCAGAAAAGATTTACTGCGGCTCTGGGTGCTAAGCTATTTTATCTCCCATAGTCTGCTTAAGAATTTCCATGCGTCTGTTTATTGTTGTAGCGAAGCTGTTTGGAGCTGAATGACGCAGAGTCCGAATGACGCAGGATTTCTGGGGACTTAAAATGAAAAGCCACCACAACAAGCAGCTATCGTTCCCTAGAGAATGTGAACAAACAGATCAGAACATGATTCCAGAGTTCCAGTGGAGATGGCCAAGTACGAGTTCCAAGTGTTGCGACTTGCTTTTTTCCTCGTTAAAAACGGAAATAATTTTTAAAAACGGCGGACGAGTTGTTTTTTTTGTCGCGTCTCTGGCGATTCTGGTGTGTTATAAACTCTCATGTTGTTTATTGCTTAAGGTGTAGGGGAGATGAGGCCCGTCCCCGGGGAGGGGAGAGAAAATGAAAAGTTTGGACGAGATTTCAAAAGTGTCGCTAAAACAAGCACTCGACATGTTCTGGGCGGCTTAACGCTTGATGAAACACAGGACCACAAGTCTGTAGGACCACAAGTCTGTAGGACCACAGGACCACAAGTCTGTAGGACCACTAGTCTGTAGGACCACAAGTGTGTAGGACCACAGGAACACAAGTCTGTAGGACCACAAGTGTGTAGGACCACAGGACCACAAGTCTGTAGGACCACAAGTCTGTAGGACCACAAGTGTGTAGGACCACAAGTGTGTAGGACCACAAGTCTGTAGGACCACAAGTCTGTAGGTCCACAAGTCTGAAGGACCACAAGTCTGTAGGACCACCGGACCACAAGTCTGTAGAACCACAAGTCTGTAGGACCACAGGACCACAAGTCTGTAGGACCACAGGACCACAAGTCTGTAGGACCACAAGTGTGTAGGACCACAAGTCTGTAGGACAACAGGACCACAAATCTGTAGGACCACAAGTGTGTAGGACCACAGAACCACAAGTGTGTATGACCACAGGACCACAAGTCTGTAGGACCACAGGACCACAAGTCTGTAGGACCACAGGACCACAAGTCTGTAGGACCACAAGTCTGTAGGACCACAAGTCTGTAGGACCACAAGTCTGTAGGACCACAGGACCACAAGTCTGTAGGACCACAAGTCTGTAGGACCACAAGTCTGTAGGACCACAAGTCTGTAGGACCACAGGACCACAAGTCTGTAGGACCACAAGTCTGTAGGACCACAAGTCTGTAGGACCACAGGACCACAAGTCTGTAACACCAGAGAACCCGTACATCACATGACCATTAGACCACGTGACGTGTTCAACAGCTCATTGAAAGACCTGTCTGACCTTTGACCTCACAGAGATAAACTCGCCTACTGTAGCCATGAAATGACGTCATTTATACTCGTCTGTCTTTTTGTCGGCCGGTATGTCTGGCTGTATGTCTGTGATAGTATGACGCTTTATACATCACTCGGCGTGATACAAAATTTATCTGTGTCTATATCACGTGATACATATGTGTATCTGTGTCTACATCACATGGTACAAAAGTGGATCTGTGTCTACATCTCATGTTTGTATGGCCGTGAGTATGGCTGGTCAACTGATCAATCATCTACTCTAGATATGAAGTCAGCCGATAGCGAGTTGCCATAACACCACACCCCCACCCCTACCCACACCAATCCCCCACCCCTACCCACACACACACCCCTACCCAGTCCCCTACCCAGTCCCCTACCCACACCCCTACCCACACCCCTACCCACACCCCTACCCACACCCCTACCCACACCCCTACCCACACCCCTACCCACACCCCTACCCAGTCCCCTACCCACACCCCTACCCACACCCCTACCCACACCCCTACCCACACCCCTACCCACACCCCTACCCACACCCCTACCCACACCCCTACCCAGTCCCCTACCCACACCCCTACCCACACCCCTACCCACACCCCTACCCAGTCCCCTACCCACACCCCTACCCACACCCCTACCCACACCCCTACCCAGTCCCCTACCCACACCCCTACCCAGTCCCCTACCCACACCCCTACCCACACCCCTACCCACACCCCTACCCAGTCCCCTACCCACACCCCTACCCACACCCCTACCCAGTCCCCTACCCACACCCCTACCCCCACCCCTACCCACACCCCTACCCACACCCCTATCCACATCCTTACCCATACCCCTACCCACACCCCTACCCACGCCCCTACCCACGCCCCTACCCACAAACCTACCCACACCCCTACACATACCCCTACCCACACCCCTACCCTGTCCCCTACCCACACCCCTACCCACATTCTACCCACACCCCTACCCACACTTTCCTACCCACACCCCTACCCACACCCCTACCCACACCCCTACCCACACCTCTACCCACACCCCTACCCACACCCCTACCCACACCCACCCACTGATCGCTGCTGATAGAATGAGGCGAGATGTCCAGGATGTATTCCATCGTCTCTCATGGGGGTCGGTACATCATAGGAGTTGGTGCATCTGGGGGGTTGGTGCATCAGGGGGGTTGGTGCATCAGGGGATTGGTACATCAGGGGGGTCGGTGCATCATAGGGGTTGGTACATCAGGGGGGTTGGTGCATCAGGGGAGTTGGTACATCAGGGGGGTCGGTGCATTATCGGGGTTGGTGCATCATAGGGGTTGGTACATCAGGGGGGTTGGTACATCAGGGATTTGGTACATCATAGGGGTTGGTGCATCAGGGGGGTTGGTGCATCAGGGGGGTTGGTGCATTAGGGGGGTTGGTGCATTAGGGGGGTTGGTGCATCAGGGGGGTTGGTGTATCATAGGAGGCTGGTTCATCAGGGGGTTGGTGCATTAGGGGGGTTGGTACATTAGGGGGGTTGGTACATCATAGGGTTTGGTGCATCAGGTGGGTTGGTGCATCAGGGGGGTTGGCGCATTAGGGGGGTTGGTGCATCATCGGGGTCAGTGCATCAGCGGGTTGGTGCATCAGTGGGTCGGTGCATCAATGGGGTTGGTGCATCAGTGGGTCGGTGCATCAGTGGGGTTGGTGTATCATAAGGTCGGCGCATCAGGGGGTCGGTGCATCAGGGGGGGGGGTTGGTGCATCAGGGGGGTTGGTGCATCAGGGGGCTGGTACACTACAAATATGGGTAGCCTCTAGCAGTATAAAAGTGGGTAGCCTGTAGCAGTACAAATGTGGGTAGCCATTTATCTGAATATGTCATCAGATGGAAAACTTCTCGTGGTTTAACCAACCAATCACACGTCATGTAGCAAACAGACATTTTTGTTGCATCAGTTTTGTCATCAGTTTTTATCTGAAATATTTCAGACCTAATTGTCGGAAAATAATTAACAAGCTATTTCAAGAAACATTGCAGGGGAATGAAAATGAAATTTGATATGTTGACATTTCACTCGGGTCGATAATGTGTTCAACAAAACAGCTGGGTTGATTCATTCGCTGGTGGCTACTGTAGGTCTTCTGATGGTCCTATGGTCAAACTGTTAGGTCATCTGATGGTTCTATGGTCAAACTGTTAGGTCTTACCAATTATCTAAGACAATCAATTTTCCAATCATGTAACACAATCAACTTTACAATCATCTAACACAATCAACTTTACAATCATCCAACACAATCAACTTTACAATCATCAAACACAATCAACTTTACAATCATCAAACACAATCAACTTTACAATCATCAAA